GTAAAACTTGTAAGTTGAATTCTTACTCATATTTATTTATAGAAATGGTATAAAAAAAAATGTGTATAGTGCTAACTAAGTCTTTACGTTCAATTGATGATTATTCATTTGGACTTCAGAAAAATTCAACTCCTCAAGTCAGCCATGTGGTTTGTGGAACTATCTATGACGTTGTTCTTTCCTCTAAGCCCAGTTTAGAAATCTAGATGTATTTCCGACATATTTTATGTACTTCATAGATGAATTTAAAGGACATCTTGGATATGGAGTTGGACTTCTGATCCAATTCAAGCTTTATAGCGGTGCCGCGGGATCAATGGTGGAGGACGTTGACCGTTACTGCTTATTTATATTGGCACCATGACCCGACATGCTATGGTCTTGTCCTAGTGATTAATTGACAAGTACTAATTTTTTTTTTCAATAATATTAAGATAAATTCATTTAGTTGGTGTGATAAATTTGTTAATAATTGACTTACATAGTGAGATGTACTACATTAATATGAGAAATGTATCTTTAAAAATATTTTTAAAAAATTAATTTTGAGATGTATGAAAATTAATTTGACACCATCCTAATTGTAGATAAAAAAAAAAAAGAAAAAAGAAGTTAACTTAGATATTTGTAACAATAAAATTAAAAAAAAAAAAAATACCTTGACCTTGGCACATACGACCTTAATTGAAGTCCTATGGTAGCATGGCAAATGTTCAAAAGCTATGATATATACCAAAACGCCAGCCATTACAGGTCCAAAATGTCCAGATCACAGGACAACGACGCAGGAGTAGGTGAAGGGGCATCATCATGAATACCAAGCTGAAGTTTCAAAATCTTAAAATTATGAATGATTAACGCTAGCTTGAGTTCTCTATTTTGTTTTCACACCAAGATGTACAATTAGCCAATTAGGTTTGGATTCTGATTTTCCTTTTAAATTCTTGGTTTCATAGAATAATATCCATTCTTTCCAGACTCCGGTTCCCTTTCTGTTTAAATTTTCAGGCCAATCAATCCCTCAGGGGCAAAACAATTGTGGGCCGGTGCGCTAGCTAGTGCCACAGGAAAAAGGTAGGAAAGATCCATTCCTTAGAGGAAGCTCTTATATCTGAAATGTGACATGTTCCCACCACATTTGTGCACAGAAGTATTGATAAGGCAAAATCATCCAAATGGGATTTGATAAAAAAGAAAATTAAAGTCGAAATCCGCTAATATATATTTTCAACCCCCCCACCAACGCAATATGGTTACATCAATGAACCAATGATGATGAGACCATTATGCAATAATTAAGAATGAAAAATATTTGGGTCAAAATTCCTTTTAGGTGAGGCCTGTAGTTCATTGTGTGAGGTCAGGGTGACCATATACATGAAGTAAGAGCCGCAATGCTATGAACCAAATCTACAAGTAGACTAGACTTTAAAAATGATATTTTTTTAGTTAATTTTTTTCCAGTCTTACCTGCGTGGCAGAGTTGGTCTGCTAATGTATATCGTCCCAGTAAAATATGATTATAGACTATGTCACTGTCAATAGAAATGCAGATAAGAGCTATATATATGTTACCTACCAAAAATGTCTTAATCGCCATTATTCTTTCAATTCTGTCCCAATTGTAGCCTACCCTGAACTACTCAGAATTTTGTTTAGAAAGTTGAATATTGTGGCTGATTTTCCGCTAGAAAAATGATTGCTGTACCTTGTTCATCAACTCATTTTTTTATAATTACTCGATTCAATTATTATAATATAAATATAATTAATTTTTATGTATTTTATATATAATTATATATTTAAATTTATTTGATTTTAATTATAAATTAAAAAATAAATTTTTAATAAATATATTATATAATGTATTAAATTTATTAGAATATCAAGTAGCATCCTTCTGTTACGAACGACTTGGGGTAGTGGTTGAATCTGTTTCTGCACGTATGCACTGATGTGGAACAAAAATGCCGGGTTCCCATCACTAATGTATGTTATGTAGCCACCCCACTTATCCAACATGTGTACCTGATTTTACCGTATCAAAAGTACTCCAGCAATATCTAAACCTTCATTTCAAGGGTCTGTTAATAAGTGATCAAATTAATGAATTGATCCATGCAGAATTTGTTGGTGCGTGATGATAATCATATTCTAGACTTTGAGAAAATTTTGTAATTTGTGTAATAATTCTGTCATGAAATTATTAGAGTTATTGGCATATATATCCCCTCTCCCTTTTCAAAAATTTCAAATCAAACTTGATAAATGAAAAATTATTATGTAATCTGAATTGCATTTATGTTACATAACAATAATTGTTAGAAAAAAAGTAAATCTTTTAATATTAAAAACTTCTTTTTTACCCAATTATCTTTATTTGTAATCTAATATAATTTAGATTACAAAACAAAAAAACTTTTTAATAAAAGTTATAAAAGCTAGCTTAAATATTCTACTTGTTGGTTGTTCTACCAAAATACTTTTATGCTATTTTCCTTCCCGATTAGACCCGTTCCATCACCAAATATTTTAGATGCAGTGTTTATCCCCATTTAATAAATTGTTGAGTATACACAAACTTTGAGTTTTTTTTTAATAAATGTTAGAAACGGAAAAGAAGGATAAATATCTAAAGAAAGGTTTATTACTTTCTTAAATAATATTGTATATACAATGACTTCTATATATGTGTTTACAAAAAGAATATTTTAAAATATAAAGTATATAAAAAGAATATTTTAAGGTATAAAATATTTACAATAAATGGGTTCACATCTTAATATCTTCTATAAACTCAAGGTGATTGTGATGAAACCAACTTGAGTTTAGAAACAAGAGTACGAAAGTATCTAAGAAAATGAGCCTTGGTGAAAAGGTTTGCTGGTTTATCAATGAAGCCAATGAAAACCAAATGAATAGTTCCTTATGCAACATGATGGCGAACAAAGTGATAATTAACCTCAATGTTTAGTGCTTTCATAGAAGATATCATTATGAGCAATCTGCATTGCACTTTAATTATCACAATAAATATTAGTAGTAGGCGGTTGAGGAACACCCATATCTTCTAGTAACCAACGTAAATTAAGTAACTCTAATGTGGTGTCTCTAAGTGCTCGATATTCGGCCTTTGTGCTAGAACATGATGGAATTGTCTACTTTTTACTACGCCAAGAGATTAAGGAATCACTAAGAAAAAGACAACATCCAATGGTGGATTTAATATCATTAGAGTCTCCAGCTCAATCAGCGTCAGAGTAAGCACAAAGTTCAAGAGATGAATGAGCAAAGAAGTGAAGTCCATGAAAAATGGTACCTTTAATATAGCGAATGGTGTGAAGTTTTGTTGCATAGTGAGTGGAGCGAGGTATAGCCATAAACTAGCTAACAACATGAACTGCATAAGCTATGTCTGGTCACATTGTAGTGAGATAAATCAAACTTCCAACCAACTGTCTATAGCAAGTAGGATTAGCTAATGGAGAACCATCCATAGGTGTAAGTCGAACATTTGGCTCAAGAGGGGTAGATGCAGTCTTACTGCCAATGAGTCCAGCTTTAAATATAAGATCAAAAACATATTTTGTTTGGGAGAGAAGATAACCATCATCAAAAGAAGTGACCTCAAGTCCTAAGAAATAACTCAAAACACCAAGATCTTTCATCTCAAACTTATGACTGAGAAATTGCTTAAGATCATGAATACTTGAAATATCATCCCCAATAATGATCATATCATTAACATAAAGAAGTAGTAGAACCATACCATAATTAGTCTTGCGTATGAACAATGCAGTATCATGAGGACTAAAAGTAAAACCAAACTCACTAATGGTGGTGCTAATCTTGGCAAACCAAGCTTGAAGTGCTTGTTTCAAACCATACAGAGCTCGCTTCAATCAATAAACTTTGTTTGGAGGATGTTCAAGTCTAGGAGGTGGTTGCATGTAAACTTCCTCTGCAAGATCACCATTTAGGAAGGCATTTTTCACATCAATCTGAAACAATTTCCATCCTTTTATAGTAGCAATAGCAATCAAACTACAAACTAAAGTAGGACGAGCAGCAGGTGCAAAGGTTTCCTCATAATCAATCCCATATTCCTGAGTAAATCCTTCAGCAACCGAGCGAGCCTTGTAACGCTCCATAAAACCATCAGATCGAGATTTGATCTTGTACACCCATTTACAACCTACCAGAGGCTTTCTAGCAAAAAGATCAACTAAATCCCATGTACAAAGTTTCTCAAGAGCTTGTAATTCATCTTGCATAACTTGATGCCAAAAAAGGTTAGAAGAGGCCTCTTGATAGGATTGAGGCTCATGTAAGGAGGTAATAGCAGGAAAACAATGATAGTCACGAAGATAATTAAGAGAATTTCTTACCCGAGTAGGACGACTTGAAGGTGGATTAAGGATCTCATTTTCGAGCTCAACAAGGTCAAATTCAATAAGTGATACAGAAGAGGGAAGGGAAGAAGACTCACCATTGTCTAATGCACTACCAACAGGCAGAGCATCTTCTATAGAACTAGGTGGAGCACGTGGAGAGGCATCACGGAGCTCATCAAATGTATTTGCATCAGAGTCACTAGGAAATAGCTCAATAAAAAGGTTAGTAAAAAGTGGAGGTTGATCAGAAGATAACACCTAGAAGTTTGATAATGAGGAAAGCATATTGTGTTCCCAAAAGACAATATGACATGAGACTCAAAGTTTTTGTAACACAGGATCCCAACAACGATATCTTTTATGCGTAATCCCATAACCCAAAAAATAACGTAATTGAGCTATAGGCTTTAACTTGTTATGTTCATGAGGTGGAAGAAGAACAAAACAAGCATAACCAAAAACCTTAAGAAGATCATAAGCAGGAGGAGTACCATGTAAACATTCGTATGGAGACTTATTATTGATGGCTGATGATGGAATCCGATTAATGACATAAATAGCTATAAGAGCAGCTTCACCCCAAAATTGCTTTGGACAAGAAGATGAAATGAGTAAAGCACGAACAGAATTAAGGATGTGTTTATATTTACGTTTGGCTCACCCTGTTCTGTTCAAAAGTGTAAGGATAAGATTATTGTGCCAATGTACCTTGTTCTTTAAAAAATGATTGAAGTTTAGTACTAAGATATTCAATGGGATTATTAGTCCTCAAAACTTTGATAATTTTAGAGAACTGGGTTTTGATCATGGTAGCAAAAGCAATATAAATTTTTGGTAACTCAAAGCGATTTTTCATAAGATATATTCAAGTAAAACGAGTATGATCATTAATAAATAACACAAAGTACTTGGAACCCCCCATGGTAGGTGTTAGAGATGGACCCAAACATCAGAATGCATGAGATCAAAAGAAGAAATAGAAAGAAAATGATTACTAGAAAAAGATAAAGCTGGTTGTTTTGCAGATTGACATGACACACAGTGTAAGGATTCATTCGGAACGAATCCTAATAAACCACAAGAGATAAGAGGACAGAGTTTACTAATTAAGGTGTGTCCGAATCGTGAGTGCCATAAATGAAGAGAAGAAATGTTAGTAGCAGCACAAGCTTGGAAGATTTGTTGATATGGAATTTGAAAAGACTCTAATTCAACAACACAAAGTAAGGTTTGGATGAAACAGTCATTTGGAAATGATGGTGTATCCATTTTATGATGAGAAATATGCAGATAATTGAGCTTAAATAGACGCCCCACCTTGCGACAAGTTCTAAGAAATTGTCCTATCTGTGGGTCCTGCACATGACAATCATGAGTAAAAAATGTTACTTCAAGACCAAAATCACACAATTGACCAATAGATAAAAGATTATAACTAAGTTTTGGAACCAAGAAAATGTTTGGTAAAGTCAATGAATTTGTAGAAATATTGCCAATGTGACTAACATTCATAGGGGAGCCACCAGTAGAATAAATGTCAAGAAAGGAATTTTTTGGTGACTTTGAAAAGAAACGAGTAATAGTTAAAGACATGTGATTACAACAACCGGAATCAAAATACCAAGGTTTAGTACCTGAAGCAATAGATAAAGAAGTATGAGCATTAAGAAGATTTAATATCACCTGTTTTATAGATTCAGGGTTGACAATAAGTTGGTCTATCACCTCTTTGGCAACTATTGCAGCAGCAGGATGAGTCACAATTTTTTCAAAACTTGCCATAGAACCAGTAGAACCACAATACTGGAAAAATCTTCTCAAAAAGTGCTTGAGAATAAACAATCCAATCTGTAGGAGAAGAGAACCCAACGATAAAGTTTCAGATCCAGAATAGATTTGAAAAAACCAACTCATAAACCAAATAGTGATGATAAAAAAAGAAGAACCAGAAGCTTATAGTTCTGATACCATGTTAGAAACTGAAAAGAAGGAGAAATATCTGAAGAAAAGTTTATTACTTTCTTAAATAATATTATATGTACAATAACTTATATATAGGTATTTACAAAGAAAATATTTTAAAGTATAAAGTATATAAAGAGAATATTTTAATGTATAAAATATTTACAATAAATGTAAATAATCAGTTATAATATTTAAAAATGTTTTTTAATAACAAATATTAATTATTTTATTATTTATTAACTAATAGTTATAATTATTAATTATTTTTAATAGTCAAATTAAACAAAATTAATATTTTAAAATTCAAAATTGAAAATTTTAATTAAGTGACCTCAATAATTTGTTAAATAACCGTAACAATTTTGTGTTTTAGCATTGAAACTTAGAAACGTGCAATTTGAAACTCAAATTTGTAAGTTCTCGGACATCCCCCCCGGGAAACTCTAAGTTTAGATGATAAACGCCCCACGTAATCCGAAAACCTAGTATTCAAGTTAATCCGATCTTTTTCGTTGAAAATATGGTTTAATGTGGACGTTTAACCTAATCTAAAGAAACATAAGAAAAATACAGCCTAAACTCCTAATGGAATACATATTGGGAGTTTCTGTCCTTTTCATGCATGTTGCATGTGCAGGAATTTTTTTTTATTTTATTTTATTTTATGTTTGCATGCGTAGGAATTAATAAGTTGCCATAAGCTTTCAAATAGATTACAATTGACCCTTTTTTAAAATTTTTGTCTAGGATGATCGATCCTCCTTTTTTAGCTTCCTGTGTTACAATTAAGAAATAATAGTGCCATTCTATGAAGATTTTTTTTTTTTCAAGATCAAGACATACCATCAGTAAGGACTTGGCATGCATTAATTAATGAAAAATTAAGGTAGACGAAATTAGATGCACCAACAGCCTGTTTCATGGGCAACGATATATTTGGTACTCCTAGAATTTATTAATCATATATTAGAAAAATCAAATATTGTAAGTGCATGTGTGTTGTTGATTACAATTAGGGGTGTTTGCGGTGTGGTTTGGTTCAGATTTTATTATTTTTTAAATTGATTTAATTTAATTAGTTAATAAAATTTTTAAACCAATTCAATCTACTATTATATGATAATCAAACCAATCCAACTTAAATTAGATCGATGTGATTCAATCAAATTAATCGGTTTTTAACATTATTAAATATATAAGATAATGTGAAAATATATTAACATCAACTAGAAAGCATAACTATAAAACACATTAACATCCAAATTAATAAAAACATAATAAAAAGTATAAATTATAAACAAGTTTTTATATTCGCTCATTTACATTTGTAAAAATTGAAAAGCTCTTAAAATTTTTCTTGGTTACATACTAGAGGCACTATAACAACAATAAAAAATAACTTCAAATTTCTAGCACAGCATAAATAATTCTCGAATGTTAAAATTAGTTTTGTTTTTCTTAATGCACTAATAATTTAATCCAATTTTCTAAATCTTGTTAAGAATGAATAAAATTTAACATGAATATTACTAAAATTGATTAGAAGCATTCCTAATCAAAATTTAAAACTTCTAAACCAGATATCCAAGAATAGTAGAATATCAAGACTAATTTTATTATATAGTTTTAAGATTTTTAGAATGATATTTATTTAAAACTTAGTTAGGAGAATTATAAGATTATTTTAAGAATAAATTAAAAATTTAGGATTCTAAGAGTAAAGACGCAAACCAATTCTGAGAGAATAGAATTGCAGGTAAATTAGAAATTTAGAATTTGGATTAAAATGTATGATTAAAATAGAAAAACAACTTAGGGAATATGGAGATGTTCTATTTTTATTTTTTTAATTAAGTTAATGGAGTTATTATCTTGTAAAATAAGAAAAAGAAAATTTAAAATACTACAAAAAAATATATTATATTATTTAATTAAATTATTTTCTAATCGGA